GACAGTTCAATGTGTTCAAAAATTGTCGCGTGGACAAAACCGCATTTAACGGCACGCTGAATATTGCAACATGAAAAATTTACCAAAAAACTGAAACAAGGACAGACAAGAACAATTAAACAGGCATATTATGAAACTGGCAGAAAATGTTGAATACATTTTCAACGATTTCTACGGCGTCTACAAAAAAAGTGTTACGACTTTAAACAAAATGGCTGATACAGTGACGCGAAAGCAAAACGATAAAATTTACTCTAATAAGCCCCCAAATCGCACACAACCTTCATAAGTACGCACAGTAGTGTCCTAAAAATTCATTTGTTAGTATTTTTTATAATATAATGTATTTTAAATTAGTGGCTTAGGGGTTAGAATTTTCGTCACTTTTTCTTCCGGGACCCAAGCTTACTTTCATGACAACAGTGAAAACGATAAATGATGATTCTCGATTCTGAATGTTATCACAGTCACAAAGAGTACTCATCTGAAATGTACGTGTAGTTCTTCGTAGAGCTTGTGCACTAAACGTGGATATTCTATCGAAAACTAGCTTAAAATTTCAAATTCGCGGAACATCAAGTGATCGACACAAAAGTGAAACAAAATGGTGGGCCTTGAAATCTCAAGCAATAGAGGGCGTACACAGCGCGACACGCATCCTTGAGGAATTAGGCAGATTCACACCTTTTAACAATAGCGTTTCCTAACCGTCTTTTTTAGTAACCGTGATATGTTGGATCAAAGCTAACAAAGCAGCAACAAAATCCAAAAACATCTAAATTTGAAAAATAACATCACACATGCAGCATATGCATCATCAACTAGTAACTTAATTTATTACAGCAGCATTTGAAACAATGAAAATAGAGGACAAAATGCAAAATTACGAAAATACAGTATTTTCAAAAGCAGAATCACAATTTATCTTATTAATAGCAAAAAGTATGTCAGAGCAATAGAACAATTCAGAACATATAACCATCAACTAGCAATAAAAACAGGTTACCATACAAAACCCAAAACACCAACTGAACAGAGACTACCCCAGTATATACACATGACAATGATTGTCAATTATATACTGAACACGGGAATAAAATACAGAAAATCAACTAAGATTTTCATAACAAAAAATTAGAAGTAAACATAAATAACAGTTTAAGTACATTATTAAAAAATCAAATATCACAATATTATTTGACACTATTTAGCCAGTATTAGCAAACACCCAGTTCAAACTTGAATCAACCATTCTACCGGTATGATGTATTTTGCTTTTGTTTTTAATTTTGCTTGATTGATTTTACTTACCAAAAAAAAGAAGAATGGATGAATTTATAATATTTCGTTATGTATTCTGGGCTCTCTCTGGAATTTGCTAGGTAACAGTAAATTTACTAATCGAGAAAAAAAAGTATTAGTAAACTTTGTCTGGAAACTGTGGAGCATTTTCCCGCGACCGAGCACAACGGGGAAGAGAGAAGGAGAGGGAGGTGTCCCCTCTGTCGTCCGCCGAAAACAAGAACAGCATGCTGAAAATGGTGCTTGCTGGTGCAACCTGAGCTCTAATTTTGTGTGTAATTTTATGACATCAAATTAGGCAGTCTGCTCCACAAAATGTACCATTTATGATGGTACAACAAAATATGCAATGTAGACACCAGAACCTTTATTTGAATAACTCAGTATTAATTAAACATATTCATGATAAGCTCACATTGTTAACAGAGGGGAAAATAGTCATCATTCAAAAGTTCACTTTTTAAGTTCACTGCCTAGAACACAAGTCATCCTGTGAATAAATGTTCACGGGAAATTTCTCAGAAAAAACTCTATGCAATCAATATTATTATTATTATATTATTATTAAGTAATCTCCCGTGCTCGCTCATCATGCAAACCCGCATGTTGACGTTTATGACGACACAAAATGACTATTTATTTTCATCGAAATTTCTGAATTAAAGTGAAAAAGTAACTAAAGTAACTTTCGGTCTTGTAACTCGATCTCAATGCTAAGAATGCCCGGTAAGAATGTTACACAAATTATAGTATTTTTCGAATCGATTCGCATTGTCTCACCTTCCATTAGCTGTGGAATCATAGCCCTATGTTGCCGACCGCATTATTTGCGTGACAGACACTGGCCGGCCCATGTTCGACATACAACAACAAAAATAAAAACAAGACGTCCTAATGAAATTGGTAGGGCAAAATTAGATTGTATGTCGCACCAAAGAGCTACGGAACCGCAGCTAACCTTCCATTATTTCTGAAATCGTGCTGTAGTACGATCAACTTTCTGTTTCTTGGTGCTGTCAGGGTTAGGACACACACGGGTTTCTGGTTCTGAACACGATTTAGCGGTTTCTCCATCTCGTCGAGCAGTTGTCTGCTCTGTTTTGACGTAGCCTCCATTTTCAATAAATAAACAAATCACGTGTTTTGATAAGGGCGACATGAAACCGTCCCATACTGAGAGTAAAGTCGCGGGGTATCTTGAAACACATGTCGACTAAACTACGCATGTGCGATGACACCAAAATAACTTTAGAGTGGAAAAATACAGTTCCGTGTTGATCGCGATCACCATGTAGCAATTGTTGCAATCTTAGAAGTAACAGGACATTGTTTAACTTTAAAATGGCAATCACTCAAACCATACACGCGTGATGATCACAGTCGAGTCTTGAAAATTAAATGAGGGCGATGTGCGAGAGTATTTTGTACAAAATGTGTTCGTAAATCCTACTAATAGACATTTATTTTGTTCGTAAATCTTGTCCAAATTTCGTAATTTACGACATTTGCGAGCGATAGCGAAAGCACAGGTTATGTGATCATTTGCTACTAAGCAGTGCATTCGTGTTTTTATTTGAAACTTCTGTTAGAATATACTTTTCGTTACCAAGAAAATTAAAAAAATAAATGCATATTACATTAAAAATACTGAGCATTTTTTTTATCATGTGGAATTTTTTTTTGATTGACTGTAATTTTTCAACATTTCGTAACGCCTATTTTAGAACCAAAATAAGGCCTTTCACTCTTCCCCGACGCCTATTCAAGAGATTGTACGGTGTATTGTTTGTTTTGTGCATGTGTTGTGGACAAAAAATGACCACGCCCATTTAGTGATTGCAATATGTACGTAATAGAAACCGCACCCCGAACTTGAGCTTTTGATCCCAATTTTTAAATTGATACATTATAATATAAACCGTGGTTTATAATAGGACTTTAACGGTACATTGTTTTATGCCAAGTGAAGATTTGATGATGAATATCTTTAGATTGTGAAAACAATTTTCCTTTAGAAATTGTGTTAGTTGCATATCCTCAGATTTATCGCATTTAAGGGCTACAAATCACAATGTGTTTAAAATGCATCATCACATCACTATGGCAAACTTCCAAGGTCTGCAGCATTCAGGGACACATCAGGGATTTCTTTAAACAAGGGAACAGGGGCACAGTACCCTCATTCTATGGCCATGCACCCCTTACCCTGGGGAAGCAGATCCTCTGGCAACAATAAAATTCTGATTGACCAGGGATCACATGCGGCCAGTCTTCAACTGTGACCTGTCTGATAGTAATTTTGGGTCCAATAATGCCATACAATGCTCCATTTTAACCTTATCTCCCCCACTTGGTGGCACTGTTGAATTGCAGTGCTCCCTCTTGCAGTTTTTTTCTAGAAAAACCCTGACATTAGATTAGGTTATACAAGAAATGTTTTGTTAAAATACAAAAAAATGAAATGAGAGATGTAATAGTGTACTAGTATTTCTAATCCTCATACCCACCTTACAAACTGTACATTGATATATAAGCTTTTTTGCAGCAGCTACTTTTTGATCTGCAGCTTTTCCTTTCATCATCTTTTTCTTCTTCTCTTGAGCTTTCTGTTGTGACTGAATTTTTTGCTGCCCTCTCGCCATGATGCACTTTCAAAACACTGCTTGTGAAAATGAAACACAAAAAAGCTGTCATTAGCATACATCCTGAAATCCCTTGATAGTATTCACCACACCCTTGCAAATAGCATTCTTCTAACTTTCGAATGCTAGATCAAACCTCAGAAATAACCCTGAATTAGATGACAAGTGAAAATGAAACTGGTATCTGCCCATCAGTTGCCTATGTATTTTGTTTCTGACAAATCTGTTTTTTTTCGCCCAAGTTGTCAAGTCTTTCATCTCAGTTGACATAACTGTTTGCCAGTTTTGTCATTTTGCTCTACGGTTGAACAGGCTTTAAACGGTAATGAATAATGACAGTTCATCTTATGTTGAGGTAATAAAGTATACAAAAGTAGAATACAAGACAATAAAGACAACTAATCTATAAAAGAGTACGGTAACTATGTTTTGTAAATGAAGTTTTTAAATAATGAACTACCTGTCTAACCATGTGTATGTCTTGAGTGTTCATTATTGGAATAAACTTGTTTGTCTTAGAAAAGTATTGAAATATTTTAAGTCTAGCATTTGTTTCTAGAAATAGCTATACATTTTTTTTCACGTTCATTGTTGTAATTGTCAAAGGGTGTAATAAAATGAATTTCATCTTCTACAACATAGTACTTTTTGCAGAGTCCATACTCCTTAGATACCAGTGTTCTCCCCAAAGTGTTTTACTTAGTACGGGTATACTGTAAAATACTTTATTTTAGCTTGAATTAATTTTCGCTGAAAAGACTTTTTGGGTGTTTTGTATGGAATTTTATTTTCACTGATTTTTGATGAGTTGAATGTGAAACATAAAAGAAAAAGTATATTGGCTGGATTTTATTTTCACTGAATTATTCATTCAGCAAAAATAGCGAAAATTAATTCCAAGCGAAAATAAAATATTTTACAGTAGCGGGGCCACTACTCTACTACTCTGAGAGCTTGCCTGCAACGCTGATGGGTTGACCAGAACGCTGAAGAAATCCCACCTCTTCTGATCTAATATTTTAAGTTTTATTGTAAATTTGGTATACACATTTACTATTTCCGGTTTTCAATAATTAACACGTTTTAACAGAATTGGCACTTGCTGGCAGATAAAACCATAGATATGAATTGTATATAATTGTAACCAATCAACAATGAATATTATATAATAATATATTTTTGACAAAATATTTCATTTTAATTAACTAATGTGTTTCACTGTATACAGTAAATTTTGTTTATTTAAAAATATACAACTGTACATTATGCTAATTGTATGCAAATTAATATCACCAGTAAACGATTTTCTGGAGAGAACACTGTTTTACCTCAATTGTGGTGGTCTAGTTCAATTTTTTGTTTATGGCTACTGAGTCTGAGCTCTGACATCATTTTAATATCATTTCTGTTATTGAGACTTTTCAAATATGGTGCTTGACTAATATCATTTTTTTAGTAGGCTGTATGTTCTCTATTTTGAGTCTGTTCTATTAATGTCTTGTAGCCAAGAGTAGCGTGTCCTAACTTTATTGTAAAATGTTTGTTTTGATATACTGTGAAATACTTTATTTTCGCTGGAATTTATTTTCGCTGAAAAGACTTTTTGGGTGTTTTGTATAGAATTTATTTTCACTGATTTTTGATGGGTTTAATGTAAAATATAGGAAAAAAGGTATATTCGCTGGATTTTATTTTCACTGAATCATTCCTTCAGCGAAAATAGCGAAAATTAATTCCAAGCGAAAATAAAGTATTCTACAGTAGTCTTAACATCAAACTCATACAAGTCTTGTATTTTGTTGAGTCTAACCATGATCCCTTGTAACAGTGATGTTCAAGTGCATGTGTAGCTGGTTGAGACATTATTTTTAATATTTTTGAATAATTAATTGCTTGATATTGGGCTTTAATGATCAATTTTAGTCTCCCAGTTTCCAGTCTGCAGCCAGTAGTACTTGTTCTATCATTTATATTTAATAGATGTCTGCAGAATTGTATGTGATATTTTTCTGTATCAGATTTTTCCCAATTGTTAATATTGGTAGTAATTCCCCACATCTCGGACGCATACACAAGAATGGGTAACTGTATTGATTCGAAGAATTTTGATTTTAATGTTACTGTTGTAGATATGGATATTACGCATTCAGCCTTTATTGCTTTGTCTGCGAGTCGTTCCATGCTCGTCATTAGCGATCCATTGGTGTTGAATGTTGTACCCAAGTAATTAGCAGCCGGCACTCAAATCAGGCTGGGGAGAACCCTTTCAGGGATATTTCTGTATGCAAATGAGATGCTAATGAGGAGCCTCGTTTTAAAATACACAAAAATAAAGTTGCCTTAGAGTTTAAAACCCATTTTTTCTCAGACTCTTAAAAAAATATTTCATGTTAGGAAACATAAATTTAATATTGATGTACCGATAAATGATTTTGGGAGAGAAAGTAGCAGGCATTTTACAGGCATTTAAACTCCATTGTCAGTTTGAAAAAGTAGTGTCAGCTTGTTCCCTAGATTTACAAGAAATATGTTTGAGCACATGTTTCTAACGATGTTATAAACGGGGGATGGTCGATTCGTCCCAAATCACATTCGTCCCAAGTTGATTCGTCCCAAGGTCGATTCGTCTCAAGTCGATTCGTCCCACAAGTTGATTCGTCCCAAAGTCGATTCGTCCCACAAGTCGATTCGTCAGATTTTAAGGTTAGCCCACTACTAACTCGCCAAATGAGCACAAAAAATCCAAACAACGAACGTGGAGTTATTAGTTAATATCAAATACAAATACACCGTACACGCAACATGGAGTTATTAGTTAATAAATACAAATACACCGTACACGCAACGTAGAGTTATTAGTTAATAAATAAATACAAATACACCGTACACGCAACGTGGAGTTATTAGTTAATATTAAATACAAAGACACCGTACACGCAACGTGGAGTTATTAGTTAATATTAAATACAAAGACACCGTACACGCAACGTGGAGTTATTAGTTAGCGTGCCAGTAACAGTTGACATCGAAATTGACCCTGCTCAAGATCGTAATGCTGACCACAAATTAAAAAAAAATGGACGAATGTGAATTGGGACGAATAGACTTGTGGGACGAATGTGAATTGGGACGAATTGACTTGTGGGACGAATGTGTTGGGACGAATGTGAATTGGGACGAATTGACTGTTATAAACTGGTCCATTGATATTGTTGAGTTGTAGTTTGTACAGTAGACATGTCCTCCATACTGCGTCAAAATACTTTTTTAGGTCAATAAAACAGCAATACAAGTTGTTATTCAACGCCAGGTACTTTTTGATCATTGTGTGTCAGAATGTGGTCAGTGGTTCTGCGACTATTCGTGAAGCTAGATGCGCTAAGCTGATTGTTGTGAATTATATTGTTATCTTCCAGGTAGTCTTAGAATGTATTTATTTCGTTTTTATTTGTTTTTATTATTGTGGTGTTTTTGGTTTTTGTATTTTTGCTATGTAACCATTTTAATTTCTCTGGGGAATTGTATATGTCTGATAAACTATACTGATGTAAGTAAATTGTTTAGTCTCCATGATTCTATTGACGTTGACTTCGGAAGTTCCCATCGGAGCCAGCACACAGGCGGTCGTCGATCAACATATGTGACAAAAACGTCACATGTCATTCATGACGCCGCAACTAGCTGAACAGCCGAGCCTAATCAACCCCTCGAAATTTACATCAATTAAAAAGATACGAAAACGTATACGTACCTTATGACAGGAAGTCCAGAAACAAAAAAATAGCAAGTTCCCTGCTCCTAAATACACGCAAACAAGATACTGTCGTTTCTCCGGAAGTAACTATTACCTTACACCTTGAAATTTGAAGTATCCCAGCTTACATCGCGATTAGTACACCGGGGGCGTGTTTAAAATTAAAATAGCTCAAATTTATGAATGTATGTTTCTCGATTTATTATTATTTTCAAAAACAAATTCGTATATATTTAGCATATTCATATTTTACACGTGATATATAGAAATAATTGTAATCATAAACGACTTTTATGCATAAACTGCTTTATAAAATAACTTTAAGAAGAGTATAGGGTAATTCCCCCCGTACACAGAGTATTATTTCCACGACCAGACGCTCAGATGTACCACGACAGACGTATTTCGTGTTATCGTTGGATTCCATGATGTATATCTCCGTCTCTCCCCGAAACTGTTTTGAGCGGAGACAGTAAAAATAGTCGACCACATCATCGAGACATGGGGTAATCTCGTTAACAAGTTCAACTCTCGCGTGGTTTACGTCATTCAATATGTCTGCGCCCATGTGAGCATGCTGTTTGAAAACATTGAATACTGCTACATTGATCGACGATGACAAAGTAATGCGATTCTGTTTTATGATTATGCGAGGGTTGTAACGTTGTCTACTCTCAATTATGTGTGATTATCATAATCACCAGTAATGATAAGTGTGTTTACGCACAACTTGATCCTGGTTAAAGCGCGGCTCCGCAATCCCAGGGATTGTACCAGTGCGTCATGGGAAATGTAATTTGCATGGTCCGCCCAGTTCTTCTTCTTATTTAGTTCCGTGCTTGCACAAAACAGTGTATCGTCATAAATAATTGTGGTTTATTTGAATGACCTACACAATGTATAGTATCGCACAGTACAACGTTTAATGATGTTATGCAACATGAACAAATTTTAAAAAACAAAAAAAAACTTTGTAATACGGCTGTGTGGCACAGGCATACCCAGTTGCCCGACGCCAAATATACACGAATATATGTGTGCCTCACACTTACAAAACACGGACACGCATACCTTTTTTTACACTATGTTAACAATCAACAATCATTTCATTGTGGGGATATATTTCAGGGAACATAACAGCAGGATCTTGCAATTTATTTATTTTGAGACACATTTGTACTTTTTAAATTGTCGAGAATGTCATATATTAAATCACAGTCCCTCTATCATAGAGGGACTGTGATTAAATTTCAGAAGCATTCTTGACATTGTCGAGAAGGTATTTGTTGACGAGCCCCTCGAACGAATCCCGCTATTATCATGTTATCATGACCAACCAGGCCTGTCACATCCGCCAATAATCCGCCAACGATGCCCCTGAAGTGACTGGACAAACACCTCACAGTATATCATTTCTTTTTAGCTCCATGATATCACTAATGACTTATATCATCAACTCCGTGATTACATAAACATACCCAGAGATTGAACAAACAACTCTGGATTAACACCTTGCATTTGCATAAACCCATGACTGACAGTCATTTTGAGCAGTCAAAACAACTGTCTGAATCATGCTTTCCCATCGCTTTTATGAGAAAATCACACTGACATTGCTCTGAACTTGTAAATTAACATCAAAATTGTATCATGGATATATTAATGTTTGTGTGCGACATGAAAATAATGCACCACAGGCGTTAATGTTTTACACTTGACCTTATTATTTTGACCTTAACACTGATCGGTGGAATATTTAAATGACTCATTGCATCACGCAATCATTGCATCACGCACTGAACCCAGACCAGAGACAGTCATCACCGACGTTGCGAGAGGGCATCTACAAGGGTCACAAGTCCCTTTTTTGTTTCGTTGTGCCCCGGCTTTCGCCATTTACAAAAGTATTCTTACCAACATTAGCCTTTTGCTGAGTAAAATCTTTGCATTCTAGTAATTGATGTGCTCTTTTGTAGGTGTGTCTGTTTACACCCAGGAGAATGAATTCAGCAGTTTGGAGACGGAACCTGGAGATTGTATCAAATATAACAAGATGGCACATGCTAAACAGTGGAACCCACGTTAGGAATGCTGTCTCTTGGTTGAGACACTCCCATATTGACACTAAAAATGAACATGCAAAACTCAAGATCTCTGATGGAAATTTTCCATTGATCCAAAAGCATTTACAGAATTATGTGACTCGTAATGGAGACTTATTTTGTAGAAACTCTGGCTGCCACTTTCATTCATTTACCTCATCAACTCTCTTACATTTACAACATAACAATACTGTATTCAGTAAAAGACATAGACGAAAGAAAAATATCTATGAGATGAAACCCAAGCAGACAAAAGATGATGTGGAAAATATGGATGTCTTCCAGTATGTTGGAGAAAGAAGTAAACCAGCACGTAGACTTTATGTGTGGGGCTATGCACATACAGGTGCACTTGGGATTCCAACCTTTGTGAAGGTGAAAGGAACTGGTAAACAACCTAGAAAATACCAAGTGACACCTTACAGGTTGGACTTAAATGACAGAGTGAGTAAATAAGTTTTACCTAAGTGCCAGTTTATATAGAATTAAAATTGGAATGTTTTAAATTTAACTAAATGTACCGGTATATTACTGTAAAAGGGGTAATTATTCACTGGGTTTTAATTTAGCTTATTTCGCTGACTGGAAAAATGCGCTAAATTAAAACACAGTGAATATGTAAAATTTAGCGTAGAACACATTATCTAAATGACGAAACCGTGAATTTAAAACTCACTGAATATGCCTGAAATGGTAAATCAGTGAAATTTAAACCCAGTGAAAATTAGTCATTTTACAGTACTTACTGGTGTTAATTCCATGGCTGGAATTACTGGTTGTGATAACTTGTTACATGCGTCCTACTTGCCATTCACAAGGGATGCAGGGAACCAGCAGTTTTTATTTAACATATTGCCTGTATTTTACTCTTCATTTTGGCTGTCCATGGAGGTTTTCATCAGGCAGTGTGTTTAAGTGATTGATTTTGTGAATTGCTATATATTTACTGACTATTACACAGTCATGCACATGTACATGTACAGAAGTTCATTTTGTTTTGCAAGTCAGATTCAAAATGGCTAACTGGTGGCCATTTTTTAACAAAGTCAAATGCTACGAATAATATTCCTCTGTATACTAAAATACTTTAGTATCATGAGTGTGTGTGTAATTGACTGACAATATATTGATTATTTCTTATTTTTAACAGATTTCTAAAGTAGCATGTGGTTGTGGATTCACATTGTTCTCAAGTCGTCAAACTAACAGTAGAAAAGTCTGGGGTACTGGTATGAACACCGACTCACAACTTGGACTGCAGACGATTTCCGGCACAGCAGGTAACCATTCATTCTGACCCATTTCTGTATTAGTTTATTGTTTAAAGGCTGATGGTCGTCATGTAAACAAACAGCGTATTTTACACACGATGAGTCCCATATATCAAGTCGCGGCATGGCACCGCTGCCCTTTAATGTGTTATTTCGGGTGGATTTTTGGGGGAGTAGCATTGATCAATGTTAAGATTATACTGGTACGATACATAATAACTATATGGAATTTGTTTCTGTAATCAGATCCAATGTGATTAATCAGTGGCCATTTTATGATGTAATTGGAGTAATTGGTGGTCAGCCTTGTCTTCTAATTTAGAAAACATCATAGAGAAATAACCAAATATATAAAAATGTTGTTTAGTTTAGTGTTCAAAACCTGTGCTCCAGTTATATGAAATTATAATATGAAATGTCTGATGGATTCAACCCTTCCCCAATAAAACGCCAAGGGTTTGACCCTACTAATAGAAAGCATTTTTGACTTCATTAAAGATAACACGCCATTTCTTAAAACATCCTTTTTTTATTTGTTTTCATATTATTTTCCAGGAAGGGTTTTGGATTATGTAATTCAACCTGCTACGATTGATTTGCCGCTTTACAAACCTCTGAGTACGCGAGTGGTGCAGGTGGCGTGTGGAAGAGCACACTCTATAATTCTCACAGATCAAGAAGGGGGTAAGCTAAGCACCTTCAATGTATTCTCTGCCCAAAAAATTATCTGGATATTTGTGAATGTATTTTTGGTATTTCCTGAATAGTTTATGCAGCAAACTACAAATTCTTTAGCTGTGCCACTTAAGTTCAATAAACAATGTTGCATTCCCACTTTGTACGATCTGCAGAAAACTTCACCGCAAGCATCATGAAGGGCTTGCAATTTTGCACAGTTCACAAAAAATATTATCCAAGAGAATCCGGAAACCAAAATTATAACATGATTACACACATTATGACCACTAACAGAGGCTAGTTTCAGTGCTGCAAGAGTTTGTCAAGTGCTCCCTTCCCCTGGGTTCTGTATGTGATACAAAGTGGGAATACAACTCTTTCAATATCATATTTTTCCCCTCCAACACTGGGAAAATGACCAATGGCGACTTGGCATAAACTTTTCCAATCTTGTTCAATTTTTTATTACAGTTTTTTCAATTGGTAACAATTCATACGGTCAATGTGGAAGACCAGTGATAGAGAATGAGAAATATCAAGCCAATCCTACTATGCACAGAATAAAACAACTGGGAAATAGTGTAGTGCAGGTGAGCTCGCAGCTATAGTGTGTAGTGCAGGTGAGCTCACGGTTATAGTGTGTAGTACAGGTGAGCTCACGATTATAGTGTGTAGTGCAGGTGTGCTGACAGCTATAGTGTGTAGTGCAGGTGAGCTCACGGTTATAGTGTGTAGTGCAGGTGAGCTCACGGTTATAGTGTGTAGTGCAGGTGAGCTGACAGCTATAGTGTGTAGCGCAGGTGAGCTCACGGTTATAGTGTGTAGTGCAGGTGAGCTCACGTTTATAGTGTGTAGTGCAGGTGAGCTGACAGCTATAGTGTGTAGCGCAGGTGAGCTCACGGTTATAGTGTGTAGTGCAGATGAGCTCGCAGCTATAGTGTGTAGTGCAGGTGAGCTCACGGTTATAGTGTATAGTGCAGGTGAGCTCACAGTTATAGTGTGGAGTGCAGATGAGCTCGCAGCTATAGTGTGTACGCAGGTGAGCTCACGGTTATAGTGTGTAGTGCAGGTGAGCTCACAGTTATAGTGTGTAGTGCAGGTGAGCTTACGGTTATAGTGTGTAGTGCAGGTGAGCTCGCAGCTATAGTGTGTAGTGCAGATGAGCTCGCAGCTATAGTGTGTAGTGCAGGTGAGCTCACGGTTATAGTGTGTAGTGCAGGTGAGCTCACAGTTATAGTGTGTAGTGCAGGTGAGCTTACGGTTATAGTGTGTAGTGCAGGTGAGCTCGCAGCTATAGTGTGTGGTGCAGGTGAGCTGACAGCTATAGTGTGTAGTGCAGGTGAGCTCACGGCTATAGTGTGTAGTGCAGGTGAGCTGACAGCTATAGTGTGTGGTGCAGGCGAGCTCACATAGCTATTGTGTGTGGTGCAGGTGAGCTCACATAGCTATTGTGTGTAGTGCAGGTGAGCTGACAGCTATAGTGTGTAGTGCAGGGGAGCTGACAGCTATAGTGTGTAGTGCAGGTGAGCTGACAGCTAGTGTGTAGTGCAGGTGAGTTCACAGCTATAGTGTGTAGTGCAGGTGAGCTCACACCTATAGTGTGTAGTGCAGGGGAGCTGACAGCTATAGTGTGTAGTGCAGGTGAGCTGACAGCTATAGTGTGTGGTGCAGGTGAGCTCACAGCTATAGTGTGTAGTGCAGGTGAGCTCACATCTATAGTGTGTGGTGCAGGTGAGCTGACAGCTATAGTGTGTAGTGCAGGTGAGCTCACAGCTATGGTGTGTAGTGCAGGCGAGCTGACAGCTATAGTGTGTAGTGCAGGTGAGCTGACAACTATAGTGTGTAGTGCAGGTGAGTTTACAGCTATTGTGTGTGGTGCAGGTGAGCTGATAGCTATAGTGTGTAGTGCAGGTGAGCTCACAGCTATAGTGTTGTAGTGCAGGTGAGCTCACAGCTATAGTGTGTAGTGCAGGCGAGCTCACAGCTATAGTGTGTAGTGCAGGTGAGCTGACAGCTATAGTGTGTAGTGCAGGTGAGCTGACAGCTATAGTGTGTAGTGCAGGTGAGCTCACAGCTATAGTGTGTAGTGCAGGTGAGCTGACAGCTATAGTGTGTGGTGCAGGTGAGCTCACAGCTATAGTGTGTAGTGCAGGTGAACTCACAGCTATACTGTGTAGTGCAGGTGAGCTCGCAGCTATAGTGTGTAGTGCAGGTGAGCTCACAGCTATAGTGTGTAGTGCAGGTGAGCTGACAGCTATAGTGTGTAGTGCAGGTGAGCTCACAGCTATAGTGTGTAGTGCAGGTGAGCTTACAGCTATAGTGTGTAGTGCAGATGAGCTCACAGCTATAGTGTGTAGTGCAGGTGAGCTCACAGCTATGGTGTGTAGTGCAGGTGAGCTGACAGTTATAGTGTGTAGTGCAGGTGACCTCACAGCTATAGTTTGTAGTGCAGGTGAGTTCACAGCTATAGTGTGTAGTGCAGGTGAGCTCACAGCTATAGTGTGTAGTGCAGGTGAGCTCACAGCTATAGTGTGTAGTGCAGGTGAGCTCACAGCTATAGTGTGTAGTGCAGGTGAGCTCACAGTTATAGTGTGTGGTGCAGGTGAGCTCACAGTTATAGTGTGTAGTGCAGGTGAGCTGACAGCTATAGTGTGTGGTGCAGGTGAGCTGACAGCTATAGTGTGTAGTGCAGGTGAGCTGACAGTTATAGTGTGTAGTGCAGGTGAGCTCACAGTTATAGTGTGTAGTACAGGTGAGCTCACAGCTATAGTGTGCAGTGCAGGGTGCATGTGAGCTCACGGTTATAGTGTATAGTGCAGGTGAGCTGACAGCTGTAGTGAGTAGTGCAGGTGAGCTCACAGCTATAGTGTGTAGTGCAGGTGAGCTGACAGCAATAGTGTGTAGTGCAGGTGAGCTGACAGCTATAGTGTGTAGTGCAGGTGAGCTGACAGCTATAGTGTGTAGTGCAGGTGAGCTCACATCTATAGTGTGTGGTGCAGGTGAGCTGACAGCTATAGTGTGTAGTGCAGGTGAGCTCACAGCTATAGTGTGTAGTGCAGGTGAGCTCACAGCTATAGTGGTAGTGCAGGTGAGCTGACAGCTATAGTGTGTAGTGCAGGTGAGCTGACAGCTATAGTGTGTAGTGCAGGTGAGTTGACAGCTATAGTGTGTGGTGCAGGTGAGCTTACAGCTATTGTGTGTGGTGCAGGTGAGCTCGCAGCTATAGTGTGTAGTGCAGGTGAGCTCGCAGCTATAGTGTGTAGTGCAGGTGAGCTCGCAGCTATAGTGTGTAGTGCAGGTGAGCTCACAGCTATAGTGTGTAGTGCAGGTGAGCTGACAGCTATAGTGTGTAGTGCAGGTGAGCTCACAGCTATAGTGTGTAGTGCAGGTGAGCTGACAGCTATAGTGTGTAGTGCAGGTGAGCTGACAGCTGTAGTGTGTAGTGCAGGTGAGCTGACAGCTATAGTGTGTAGTGCAGGGGAGCTGACAGCTATAGTGTGTAGTGCAGGTGAGCTGACAGCTATAGTGTGTAGTGCAGGTGAGCTCACAGCTATAGTGTGTGGTGCAGGTGAGCTCACAGTTATAGTGTGTAGTGCAGGTGAGCTGACAACTATAGTGTGTAGTGCTGGTGAGCTCACAGCTATAGTGTGTAGTGCAGGTGAGTTCACAGCTATAGTGTGTAGTGCAGGTGAGCTCACGGTTATAGTGTGTAGTGCAGGTGAGCTCACAGTTATAGTGTGTAGTGCAGGTGAGCTCACAGCTATAGTGTGTAGTGCAGGTGAGCTCACATCTATAGTGTGTAGTGCAGGTGAGCTCACAGCTATAGTGTGTAGTGCAGGTGAGCTCACATCTATAGTGTGTAGTGCAAGTGAGCTCACAGCTATAGTGTGTAGTGCAGGTGAGCTCGCAGCTATAGTGTGTAGTGCAGGTGAGCTCACAGCTATAGTGTGTAGTGCAGGTGAGCTGACAGCTATAGTGTGTAGTGCAGGTGAGCTGACAGCTATAGTGTGTAGTGCAGGTGAGCTGACAGCTATAGTGTGTAGTGCAGGTGAGCTGACAGCTATAGTGTGTAGTGCAGGTGAGCTCACATCTATAGTGTGTAGTGCAGGTGAGCTGAAAGCTATAGTGTGTAGTGCAGGTGAGCTGACAGCTATAGTGTGTAGTGCAGGTGAGCTCACAGCTATAATGTGTAGTGCAGGTGAGCTCTCAGCTATAGTGTGTAGTGCAGGTGAGCTCACAGCTATAGTGTGTAGTGCAGGTGAGCTGACAGCTATAGTGTGTAGTGCAGGTGAGCTGACAGCTATAGTGTGTAGTGCAGGTGAGCTCACATCTATAGTGTGTAGTGCAGGTGAGCACACAGCTATAGTGTGTAGTGCAGGTGAGCTCACAGCTATAGTGTGTAGTGCAGGTGCAGGAATTTATTTTATTTTTGAAGGTAAATGGATAGAGTAGAAACATCACCTCTTCTATCTATGCATTAATTTCAACCAAAATGCTAGAGAAAATTATCTAATCAACATTTTGTAAATTAAGGTTTCATTCTACTTGTATGATATACATTGTTAAGGAACCACATGCATGATGACAGTGTGTTTTTTGGTTACAATGTATCACCATTTGTGATTCTGATATTGTTACATAATAACATACAATAAGAAATCTGTGTGTATCTTTGTATCATTGTTAACCCTGATCTTGTATACTTTTGGTTGTTATTTCAACAGATTTGTTGTGGCCATGATCATAGTCTATTCCTTACAGAGGATGGTAGAGTCTATAGTTGTGGTTGGGGTGCTGATGGACAGACAGGTATTTGTCTTTACTTCTTTACTATGCTTCTATATAATATATGTTTATAATCATGCAGAGAATGTCTGTTTATTTCTCCTAATATATGATCATAATTTTTCCAAATATCAGTACAAATCACATCATATTACCATAACTATGACTCAGTCTTGTGAAAAATAATATCAAAGCTTCTAGAAATCAAAATATACTTTGTGAAACACTGTATATCGTAATGAATTTATCTTATTTTCATTGAATTTCATCTTTGAAATGAGTACAGTGACCCCATATTTAGCAACTGATTTATTGCAAACTATGTTTGTTTTATTTAATTTTTTAGTAAAAATCAGGTGGTACAACCAATAGAAGTGTGACTGTACATCTGAATTTATCTTGTTCGCCATTGTGTACTTGATTTACACAGGTTTAGGCCATTTCAATACAGTCAGTGAAGTTTCAGAGCTGGAAGGAGACATCAAGGGAGAGAAAATTACAAAAGTGACATCTTTTTCTGACTGCTGTTTGGCGTTATCAGGTTTGTCAAAAACCATAGTATAATGATGATAAAATTTTACTTTGTGAAATTGTAATAAAAGTTGACTTTGTTCTTCAAACACAGTTCTTGACTTTAATTTTTAACTCACTTGTCAGAGCTGTATGTTATCTATATAGGCTACTATGAGGCTAGTTAGTTACTGCTGGTATTCAGTTGTCGCCATGGTAATTTTACTTTTATCGGGCTATAGGGGTACTCTTAGAGTTCTTCTCTGAAAAATGTTACTGTATTTGCTCTATTAGTAGTGCAGGCGTTTCGTAAATATCACATGTATGTCCATGGTCAAACTAAATAATAATTTATTGCCCTAAATTAGCTTCCTATATGTGGTACAGTCAGCAAGGTCAATACCATTTTAGTCCCCGTTCGGACGTAGTCCGAAAACGGGGACTTATGGTTTGCCCTGTGTGCGTCCGTGATCACCTATATCTCGAACATGCATGGACCGATTAAGTTCAAACTTCACTCATACATCACACATTATATGGGACATATGCACATGCATTTTTTTCATGATCCGATTAACGATAGCCGAATAGCGTCCATTTTAAGGCCAAAAATGCATCAAAATCGAACATTTTCACCATTCCGGACCCCGATCTCAGTCGTGCATGGACGGATTTTGTTCAAATTTGGTACATACATTAAACATAATAGGACCTTGATGCACGTCTTTTTTTTTGGGATCGGGTTTGAAATGGCCGACTGGCGGCCATTTTCTTTCAAAGAATTCAGTTCTGGATCCGTATCTGAGACATGTCTGGATTGATCAAGTTCAAACTTCACACACACATGGTACATCATGTCACAAATAGATATGTGCATTTGTTTCATGATCTGCTTAACAATAGCTGAATGATGGCCATTTTAAGGCCGAAAATGCATCAAAATCATGTATTTTCACAATTCTGGAACCAGATCTCAGTCATGCATGGATGGATTTTGTTCAGATTTAGTACAATGTGTTGTACATATGCAGGTGCATTTCGGATCAGACCACTGAAAGGGGTCTGAGATTTCGGTCATGATCTGCTTTGAATGTATATGTCACTTAAATATGAACGGTATGGGGACGTGTCATTGACAATGACTTGTTGATATACAACCTCAGATGAAATTAAGAGTTGACATATTGATCATGACCCAAGAATAACAAATATTGTGTTATTGGCATTGAATCAGTGTTTCTAGGTTTACATCAGTTCTTTTTACTATAATGAAATATAATGTGATAATGCTCTATTTACAATATATATCTCTCCGTTAGAAAATGGTAAAGTGTTTGGATGGGGAAATTCTGAATACAATCAATTGTCTCGTATCACTCAGCATTCACAGGTTTGTTTGTTTTTGAATCTACTCATGGGAAAAATCAAAAAAATAATTCACACACATTCAATGGAGGAAAGCAAAGTACAGCGATAAAACTACACAAGGAATAAAATAATTTTCTTGATTTTCCTGTGTTCTCTAATAATAATCTATAATCAAACTCTATTTGACACCTACATCTAAATATATAAAACTCTGTCTTATTTCCCGGTTTTCGAATTGATAGCGTTTGCGCATCTATCATTTGTGCACTTGCACATATTGTAGCAGTAGTAGTACACTGAACATCAATGTTCCCAACTCGCAATGTCAGATTTCTTCTCCAATAATACTGCCATCATTTTTTAACTAACTTATACCAGCCTCTGAAAATTGGCACACTATTCTGCCTATTTAAAGCAAAAATAACGAACATGCAAATTATCTTTGGCTATAGCCTAATATTTTCATATTTTTGTGGGTATTTGGGAGTTGAAAAACTATGTCACGGTCGTATTTACTCAGCGAAACACACACGTACCACCTCTGTTTCAGTCCATTTTCTCTGAAAAGTCATCTTTTCAACTGAAATTCCACTTTTTTCAGCTGTCTTAAATAGTTCTTCTAGCTGTACACCCACCCACACTCACTTCGCTATCTGTTTCATATATGCCGGTGGCCTCTGGGGTTGCATGTCTGCTGATGTTCTTTTGACTTTTTATCCTACCCTTCCCTGTTCTTAGGTAGGTTAGGTATGCGCAAAAAGAATTACATCGTGTCTGACGTTAATTCAGGAACTGGGAATTGAATCTTGAGTAAACCTGTCTTAACTGAGCCATGTGACAACTGATAATCTGATAACTATAAGTAAATACCATGACATTGATAGAATCTATTATCTATCCTTGTTTTCACTTATGTAGGTGAATACACCAATTCATCTACCATTTGATGGCGTTGGAAAAGTGGTTGACATAGCAACTGGAGGTACAATGTGTGCAATACTTAATGGTAGGTTTAATCTTTGCTGTTACATTATTTTCTTTTTCATCACCCAGGACAAAAATGTTAGTTAGTAGGGAAGTCAAAACAAAATTAATTGAAGTCGATGTTGTGTTACTTCATAAATAAGACAACCATGTACATATACCATAATAAAGACCATAGCTATGACTTTCCTTATGTTTGGGTTTCTCATAAGGCATAGCATATGAATTTAGTCTACAGTCATTTATATGCCATATTTTTTCTCACCAAAAGTATGAAAGTATTTCAGGCATTATTTTTCTGATATTTTTTTCTTTTTTTAAAGTGGCAATAGCTGAGTTTTTTTTTGTTGCTTGAATATATCTGCATAAAAATGACCAAATCTTACCAAAATATTGTTTTAGACACAATTATATGGGCAAAGGGACCATACACAAGTGTCGCATATGACTTGTTTACTACTTCCGTGTGACTGAGAATGTTCTAGAACTGTACTGTGTCTGGGTGGAATTTTTAGAAGTTGGTTGAATAGGTAATAGGACACTGTAGAAGGCAATAGAATGGTAATGGGACATTCTAGAAATTTGTAGTAAGTTCCAGACTCATTATGTATGCTGATGTAATGGTCTATTTATAGACAGTGTGGGTATATATAGGGGAGTTGTTCAGCACTGAGATCAGATCGGAGATCTCGTTGAATTGTATTGGAGTTTAAGTATCTAGTTATTGGAGTAGTGGAGTTTTACCGCGTTATTGTACTTGATGTTTGCAGAGTATAATAATACCAGTACCAGTTGAAACCTCATCTGTTGGCTCCGTGTTCGTATTTTATCATCGCTGCCAGGGAAGTCTTTTTGTTACTGTTGCCATTTTGGTATTTGAACCATCACACCTGTACTATACCAATTACGGTAATATTACGTTGCGTGTGACAACAAGGCTAATGTCGAATGAAATGCAATGTAAAAACTATGGGTCAAGTATTTCGTTGAAATCAGTCATGTTACAGGAACTGTGAAATGCATGCCGAGCACTATCAAGGCTCATTTTTTCAGGTACAGGGAAGTGAATGCTTCATAATTCATAATTATTACAATTACAGTAAAAAAAAAATGTATATAATGAAAACGTGCATTTTATCTGTGAAAATGACATACATTTGTTCCTTTCAACTCAGATGCAGGCAGTGTGTTTGTTTGGGGTTATGGTATACTTGGAAAAGGACCAAATCTATCACAAAGTCATCGACCTGAACACATACCAGATGCATTATTTGGGAAAACTCAATATAAAAGTGATGTTCAAGTTACCAAAATAGTGTGTGGTCTTCACCATTTTGCAGCAGTAAATAGTAAGAAGACTATTAAATTATTCTTATTAAGTTACCCAGTGTTTGGCTTAGTGGATGAAGGTCATTCATACCTTGAAAACAGAACACCAATGGAACTGAGATAATTTTTCAGATTGTAGAGATCTTCTATAAAGTCAAACTTTCTATAATGAACACCAGTGGTACTGGGATAATTGTTCAGATTATAGAGGTCTTTTATACAGTGAAACTGACAAATGTTATTACGGTATTTAAGCTCACAAAAAATAAAAAATATCAGCCAGTATCGTATGCAGCAGGTATTTGGTGGTACTCTTAAAATCCACATTGCTGAATTTCTAAATACCCGAGATATGCTATTCATTGAATTTGTCAACAATGAATGTACTAGTATTATAGATGATAACATGTAATTTGTAATATTGTATTTATATTTAATTGGACTATGGTTTATAATGAACTGAAAACTCTGTTCTCGCAGCACACCTCTCAGTATTCATTTGATGAAACAATCACATTCTCATTTGTGCTCTGATGTTTTGGTACATTCAATAACAATCACTGCACATGCGTGCTTGTTGTTTCGATTTTTCATCTAACAGATACTGCTATGGGTCCTGTAAATGGAAAATATTTTTGTTTATGATAATGCATAGTCAGATGTGGTCTATAATATGGAATTTGAACTACATATTAAAAAATAAATATTTGTGTCTATAATGCATTTTTAAGTAATATTTCAATTTATTTGTATAGGTTTAGGAGAATTGTTCACATGGGGTCGAAATGACAATGGATGTCTTGGATTAGGTCACAGAAATGATCAGTATTTCCCATTAAAGGTAACAATTCAAGTCATTTTGTTAGTGTTTGTAGCAATCTTATAAGCAATAAGGATTCAATATACCGGTATATACATACATATGGATAGTGCTGGAACAGTCAGGCTCCAGTTTATGATGTTATTAACTTTTGAAAAGTATTGTTTTTTGAATAATATGCTTGTTGCACCAAAATGCAATTTGTAAGAACTTGTATTTGTTGTGAAATGCAATATAGGACAAAGTTGATTTTTACTGATTTCTATAAAGTAGTATTAAAGCTGATGCATTAAAGTAGCCTCTAAAATGTGCTATTCTTTGTTTACAAATGTATTATCACCATGTTTAGGTAACGAAGCTGCTGAAGGCGCACTATTCCTAAATATTTTGCATTGTTTATTAATTTTTTTAGTGCAGAAGAGCTTTGTAATAGTCCATATAAAGCAAAACAGATTTTAAAGTTGATTTTCAGTTTTAAACTAAAAAGTCAGGTTGTATGTGTAATGCCAGGTCTTATAGCTTTTAGGTGTCTGCTCATTCAAAGTTAGACACCAATGACTTAGAGCAGCGGAATGACAACCTATTAGAGATATATATATCAAGGATGATATAATATCTTTGTGGTTTTTCTACTTTCTTGCAGGTACACCTTGCTGGTGAGGTCATTGAAGTGTCCTGTGGAGCAGATCATACAGTGGTTCTTGCCAAGACGTTTATCTAGAAACTTAACTTGTCTGTTGCAAGGTCATTGAGTGTCTCTTGGAGTAGATTATTCTATGGCCTTTGCAAAAACTTTTTTAGAGAAACTTTATATGTTTCTGCAAGATTGTGGATGTGTTTTTTTTAAATTATATCATTCAGTACTGGTGTGTGTGTGTATCATGTGCTACCAGATTTTTGAACAATGTGAAATCAAATATATTCCTGGTGATTTCAGTCATGGTTACTAGTATAATAAACATTTTGTCACTCTCCTGATGATGTTTAAAACCAATTTAATTTCAAGTTTAAAAGTTTGTGTACTTATATGTCAAATTGACATATAATATACTGTGTATAATCATATATCTTTGCTGAAGTTTACCTTCCATGGGCATCCCTACAAACCATTGAGTGATCTGTTAGGAAAAGCTGTATTTGACCTCAGTTAAATTGAATGATCTGATTAGGCATGCGAAGGGGCTGGATCTACCAATCAGAGTTCCTGTAACAACAACTTGCAATAATTTCAAAATTAAACCAATAGACTTTGCTTTCACATCATAGCTCAAGTGACAAGAACACATGACTGGGTTTGAAATTCCAATGCCAACCTACCAGAGTACACGCAGATGTGTTTGATTTCACTACCAGTGGATACAAGTGGGAATTCTTCAAAGGTATAATTATGAGTAATTCAGAATAAACGAACCTTGGCTACAGTGGTGAGGTGACGACCGAATACCGGTAAATGAACCTACGCTGGCAAAATTGAACTAATCACAGTGCCAAATTGTGTTCTAAAACATAACTCTGAACTCATGGCGTTGTCAGAAGATGGGATTTTTATAGTCTGTTATTGGCTTTCCACTCAAACACCGCCATGGATCCTACAAAAGTAAAATGTATTGGATACCAGTGTACACCAGCTACATTTTGAGTTCCTCTCTCGCAGAAAACTGGGACTCAGATCTGCAAACTTTTGATCTGTATTCAAAATCTGATTCAAGATTCTGATCAAGTTTAAAGCAGGGGAGTCGTCACTTGCGCACGCGTCAAATGGCCATAGTGTGTCATTGTTTACAAACAAGCATTCACCCATAAGCCTTTGTGTTTTTTAGCGCGTGTTGTTATTGTCGCTTGGGACTCCCTGAATTCCTGTGCGTGCGCAAGTGACGACCACCTCGCTTTAACAGTCACGAATACAGACAAATATCATTTCCGTGTGTTTAATACCATATGCAGATGGCATTATAGCCTTTTGAGAAAACTGATATTATCCATTTTCTATTTTGAAATCTAAACGTGAGAGGATACTGTTTATAATAAAATATAGAATTTGACACTGAGGGCGCACTTGTCTATGAAGTTGGATGCTTATGTTTATTCAGTGACTTAATATTCATTGATTGACAACTTGTGTTCTTAAAGATCGTTAATATTTTCTACAAGATGTTGAATTATTTGAGTTACCCAGCCCACTTTTGTGAAACAAAATTGAAACGTGGTGGTCGTCGTGCAGTGCGTGTTCAAATTTCATGTAAATAAACTATGTATTTTACACGCATTGTATACGTCGCTATGTGTCCCATATCAAACAGGACGCGGCACGACTGCCGCCTTTTAAAGTTTAAGCTACAATTTTTGTGACATGTAACTCATAGTTTGGTTAAACATGGAGCTATTATTTGGTCAAAAAGGGTTTCTAAAATATAATATACCTCAATGTTTTGGTAAGTTGATATTCAACAGTTGATTTTTAGTTCAGCAAGAAATGCGTTATACAATATATTGTATCAGAGGTACATTACTTGGGGTTTGCAACTCGCATAGTACTGTATGGTGACATCATGTCAAGATCCCATTCAAGTCTCTTCTCGTAGATCGCGAGACTGAGGCTACGACCTTCTGACATGACGCATATCAATGTTCAAGGTTTGTAATGAAAAAAATAAACTTTTCTTGTCGCTATCATAGTGAAAAATGTAATACATCGAAAATGTACAGAAAATATAGTTCTCGTAATCCGTCATATCGTGGGCAGCTATTTTGATCCACCTGGACATCCCAGTATCCTAGTTACCTCGGGCATGCGCATTCGCATTTTTTCTGAGTTGGAACGTTTATGCGAGAGCGAGATTGTGACGGGATCTTGGTATCATGTCACCGTAGTTACAAACCCCAAGTAATGTACCTCTGATTGTATATATATTAATGATCATTTGAAAACTTTACCTAAATACTAGTATTATTTAAATGATTGGAGACACTGGAGTGTTGAATATGTCTGTAATTATTCATACATTTATTATCACAGTGTATAATCAGTATAAATAAGAACAATTTAGTAATTTATGAAATGATCTTGTGTGTTTTAGGTTTCTAAACATCAAGTTTCTTGAAGCTGCCAGTTAATCCACCAGCTGCGTCCCTACCCTGTCCTGTCCCGCCGAGGGTATCTGCAGTCTTTGGGAATCCATACTTATTATTCTCTATAAATTTGTCTTCCATTCCCAACAGTATCTCTCTCCAGTCTTTGTTATCAAACTCTGCGACAGCGCCCCCATACTCTGCTGGGAGTATGGACGACGGTATTTGTTTATGCAATGATGCGAATTCTTCTCCGTGGAATTGCAGCTGTGAAAAAAATAACAGGTGGCTGTCATATACGTAGTGAAACTAATGCAAGCTATTAATATTTCTGCGCATGGTATGACCCTGATAATTCGCCTCTCTTTTAAAGCTGTTTACGTTCATAATCGTTCAGTGTTATTTTTCTTTTCGAACATCTGGTCAGATGCAAGCTATATATTCTCGGGGCGGACATCTGGGCATTTTCACCGCTTGGCAACCCTGGCGGTGAAAACAAAGGCCAAAAACTCGCAGAAAACGGTACTTTGGGATGGTAGTTGAGACTCCCCTGAACAGTATAACAACATTAGCCCTACGTGTGTAACATATATAAATTTGGTTGTTCAGGATTACTTCAAAGTTGAGTTTGTGTTGTTTTCTCGAATTTTCACTGGCTCGACCGGCGTTCCACAGCAGCGCGAAAAGAGCCTATAGAAATGCATGTACAGTGGTGCGCGTCTTAGCAACGTGGAACATCTTGTGACGTACGTCCGCCCCGAGGATACTAGTAATCATCATCTAGTGCTAAAAGTCGTGAGATACGCGAATCTTTCGCCTTGACACTAATGATCAGGTAACCATGGAAGATAGCACAAAACTTGGTATACAGAGTTATTTTAAAGATCATATTGATTACCAAGATCGCAAAAAATTAGCATAAATTTATATATTTACTTACCCTTTTTTTAAGCTTGTCACTCATGAATGGTCGAACCAATGCTAATGCGGCGTCTATAATCTTAGGTTCATTCACGAAGTGCATTGCTTTGAATCGTAGAGGCAATGCATTCTGAAATAAAATGGCAAAACAGAAATTCAAAATTGAATACAACATATTGTATAAGCCGACACAATATTTAAAGCGGGAGGTTCGTCATCTGCGCACGCGCGGGAATTGAGTCCCAAGCGACGATAACACACACTAAAACGCAAAGGCTCATGGGTAGACGCTATGGCCATCTGACGCACGCACAGGTGACGACTCCTCCGCTTTAACGTGTATAATACATGCTGTACCGCTGAATTTGTTCTTGGAGTGAATACATCTTTTCAACAGATCATTTTACAGCTAATATTAAAACACAACCGAAAATATAGCGAAAACGTATTATAAAATTTACTAAGAAATCCCGAGAAATATTTCTCATAATTGCTTTATATGTTGATCTATTTACAATAAACTCAGACTTTGACGACATGTTATTGAAAAATACTTGATGTGTAAGCCTCGCAATAGAGAGATTGTGGGATCCGCAACCCATTCTACCCAACAAAACGAAGTAATGGCCAGGCTCTTGGCATACATATAGAGAAGCTACATCCTATTGCATGGGGGAAAATACGGCAATTATGGGTCGTGTATGTTGTCCCTGTCACCAATGGACGCAAATATCCTCTTGTAAAAACAGTAGCGGGATCTTCGCGTGATTTTCGTATGTATCAAGAGTTACAAACCAACTGCGGTTTATGAAAGATACTCCACCAAGGTTTAAAGGACGGTGGTCGTCGCGCTGCGCATGTGCGACATTTGTGTTGATAAACTTTTATTTTCCCACAATCCAGTGTGCTCTTCTATAGTATGAGGGTCGAACTGGGTGCGACTTGCACTAATTACCGCCAAATACCCTTCAATACCTTCCAATCACCTTAAAAATACCTAATTAAAGCTTGGCAACGTCCCAGTTTGTACTTGTGGATCTGCGCAATAGTCAAGGTCACCATCTTTGTTTATATGAGACCCATTTATCTCGCGCATGCGTGACGTGACGGCTACCGACGACCCTTTAACTTGGTAATTCCTAAAAATGATTGGAACGCAAAGAAAGTCAACAAAATTAAGTGAACATCAAGGCCAATTCAAAACTCTTATTCCTACTTGCCATTGGGAGAACTTATTGGTTTGGGGAAATCATTCATCGCACATGTGTAGCGCAAAGACCAACACAGGTGGTCTCCAACCTAATTGACTAGCAGCGGTCGTTCATCATATATGTCTGTAATATGCATTATATGCAAAAGCTATTATAGAAACTAACTACAATGCTTAAAAAATTATAACCTAGCCATATTTGAAGTGGAACACAACTAAGAATTTACCTGTATGACGTCCATCATTACCCTATGAGATGGTCCCATTTTGGTCACGTGACTCATGGTCAGCCCAGAAGCATCGGCAACAACTACGACTCCATTCACCTGGGATTCTTCTTCTTCTAGGAGCATTTCTAGTAGCATTAGAACTGATCGAATAATCTCCGTAGCCTCCATTTGTTTAACATCCCATTTGTCTGAATAAAAAAAATACCTGTCAATCATAAATATCTAATTGGGAAATGAATATTACTTTGTATAAAGTAAAGATTTGAAATAGAAATCTTCATAATTATGGCAAGTTAAATATGAATATTCCGGCGCTAATCAGGACCGGTCGAATAAAATCACCTTTGACCCTTTGGCTCCCGTTAGGAAATGAATGAATTTTGGCTTTGACCTTCTAATTGAGTCAGAGATCGATCAGGAATGTTCAAACCCGTGTAGTATTTAAACTCGAAATATAAAAAAAACTTGCAATTCTTTATTTTAGTTGAAGTGCACAATATATTATACAGCCAAGATCTTAAAATAAATACAATACATTACCTATCTGAAACACGATAACACGACGACCATCTACGTCCCATTTGTCCGATATGAAGTGCATTTTCGTTTCCAATACATGCATTATCGCTGATGGCACAAAATTAATAAAAATGTCTTTGTGTTGTCGACGCACTTCATAGTAGTGTACTAACGTCTTGAAGGCTCGGTTGGTTTCATATTTTTTGGCTCTCAGGAAACGAATGAGAAAAGCATCATCAGTACGAAATTTTATGTCAGGTCTTGTGTTAAACAGCGCGCGTAATTCGTTTAAACATTTTTGTTGTTTTGATGGATCTTCGTTCAATTCTTTCTTGGCTTTCTTTTTAGTCTTCTCGCTGATATCTGATTTATAGCTGACTCTTTCACTCGCAGTCGTCATGGTTGGTTTGTATGGTGTTGTCGGCTCCGCGGTTCTCAGTAGAATGGTAGTTGGCAGTCAACTCTTACATACAGTGTCTCATTGAATCAAGCTTATCTACAATGACGTAGGTTTGCTCGCCACAGATAGGTCAACTCTTATACTATGAGTTGTTAAGTTTAACGTAGGCAAGACTGTTTTGGCGCAGCTTGTATCATCAGCTAGCAGTGTATCCCCAGTTGGAGAATAGTGACACCAACAAGTCGGCATCACCGTCAAAATAGCATTTTTTTTTTCAGTGGAGGTTATTATACTTAATGCAGATATGTTTGTCACATGACACCCTGTGACACATTTATTGAATTATATACTTGGACATTTTTGCTGAACCCAGCCATTCCTTTGTTTATAATTTAGTTAATTCACCCCAATCGTAAGTTGATCCTCGTTTTTGATAGGGTCTCATGCGACGTACTATTTGCGTGAAAAATATATTGTTAACACAAAGTTCGAACGCTGCACCGCGGACTAGTCGCTATGACGAATAGAATAATATTTTCGGTGAATAGCTGATGGAAGCTAATTAGACAATTATTATATTAGTTTTTAGTTTTCGCCAAATTCACCAAAACCTGCAAGCTATCTTTCTAGACATCGAGTGAGATGTTCGAGTCTAATAACGATGTGGTACACTAGATATGATGTGTTAATTAGCATAATATAATTTTGTTTATACCAATAACTCCTAACACGGTGCACTACTGGTAATTGATACTTCACCCTTCACCACATATTGATAGGTGTAATTATTAACGCGCTCAAAACTGCATCAAAATCGGCAATAGTGAATAATAATTGCAAAAAATTGTAATATATTCGGCTCGTAATTTGGTCACACTTTGCCACAAAAAGGAACGCCTTGCGATTCGGATGAATCATACTGGAAACATAAAAGACAATAAAGAATAAATGTTATTATAATATTGAACAACAACTTAGTCGATTTTGAAATTATATATATGCAGAATTAATTTGTTTTTGTGTGATAACGTGTTCAACTTTGAACACGTGTTTGCTAACACACGAGGTTTGTAGATTCGTATGTCAAAACTATTATTACGTTAAATAATTCAACGACGCTGGATCTGATAGGTATTTGACCCTTCACTACATTTCAATGACATGTAATTATTAACACGGTATTTATATTACAAGCTTGTTTAGTTTTACGTGTATTTATTTAGCATTTAAACTATCTTGTTGAGTTCAACATAAGGGCAAGGGGCCTTATCTTACTGCATACAGTAAGTGTGTTTTCTCATGTTGTGTATTCGCCATTATACTCAATTTGTAATGCTGGGCATTTTTAAGTGAAAACATCCAAAATCCTGGTTTTCTCCTCCGACGATGAGCTTTCCAGTCAACTTGAGTAATAATCAACATTATAATACAGTATATTAACTTGACATTGGAATAATAGCATATTTTTACATCGTGTTCCCAGCAGCTTCGTTTTTGGCTCACGTGTGCAGGGCACACAGGGAGGCCAATGTCATTACGATGTCTGTCTGCATGGATGGATGTGTGATAGGACGGCATGGCAAAACTTGTTCCACCACTACGCTGGTGAGGATTGGGGAATTGTATGTAAACAGTGCATTTTGCATACGTTGCATTTATTTTAGTGTAGGTGAGTGGTATTCTAAGCAACTGATCGGAGTTATTATTAATTATCATATACGTGTAGTAGATGGTAAAAATGTGTTGAAAGTTCAAGTGAACACGTTAACATTAATTTGTTGATATGTATGTTGAGAGATACCGCTCGCTTCGATGTTATTACGTTAAACAAATCAACGCCACTGTATCTGAAAGGTTATTGACCCTTCACCATATTTCGAAGACATGTAATTATTAACATCTGCATATTAATAACGAGCTTGTTTAGTTTTATTGATTTGGAATCTAACGTTAATTTAATATGAATTGATTGCACGTTGACGCATCCAAATCTTCACATGGAACGCATTAAATGACAATGGATGGCAAATAAATAAAACTAAAATGTTTGAAAGCGTCATACTTCTCGATGAAGTGGATGAATTCCGTATCACTGTCAAACTGATTAGACAAACGCCAATATTTCAAATTTATATATCGTGTATACACTCGTGCCAGGTTCGTCACCCTTCACCACATTTCGGTAGCTGTAATTATTAATTAACCCGATCGTTGGCAGAGTAACAAACCCCTTTGCTGTGTCGCGCGTGTCCCTGGTATTAAGTTCAAACTGTATGCAGAGGACATCTCGTCATAGACAGCATATGCATAATCAGACATGTAAGCATGGATGTATTCGAGTGAACTCGGGGTACACCGATGATGGGGCGCAAGACCTACTACACTTCTTTACCAAAGACCAGTACCTGCGCGTTTTCTCAATGCATCTATGAAGTGATTCTCTATGTGTAGCAATTTAAACGTACATTAGGTCGTAGCGTGGTGCTGACGTTTTTATTTTACTGCTGGTACGCTCAATCGCTCGTTTTATTCAAATATTCTGTCCAGTACCCGGAAAATGAAATGATCATCACCTAGGTAATGGAGGATTTCTATCATATCTCTTATATTATCAGAATGCCGATCGAATAGTCAATCCTCTGTTGAGTGCATGTGATCGCTTTACCAATCTTCTATATATTGGCCGGATTTACTACAACATATGGTGGGGGGGGGGGCTATTGGAGTTGATGCTCGACTTCGGTAATGTCAGTTATGACGAAATTGTGCTCAAGAAAACCCGGGGCGTTTTCGGTCAACCAAATTACTAATATAAAATACGATTAAATAAAACAAGAATTTCCAAATATCGCACGTGTTTATCGTACTGTATTACGTGTTCGTTATTTTTCAGATAAAAATGTCCAAAATCGTTACAAAACTAAATTATTGGTTTATATTTTTTTTTCCTAGAAGCTCGATTGGAAATCATAATACATGTACATTGTAGTTCAGCCGCTATTTATGCTTTAGTCGGTTTTGCTGGTTCGAAATCCTCCTTGACCAAATTGTTCAAGTCAACAGACGAAAACCTCGTCAACTTCAGACATTAAACATTACTGAAGCTACACAGTCCTAGCCAAGGTACAAGGTTTTATTTATAAAGTACGATACAGTTATGCAGCTCCAATAATGTCGGTTTCCAAGTTCGACCTCGTGACATTTTCAATATGCTTTTGCACTTGATACAAAATGTACATTACGACTTCTCGTTCGAATTGTATTTCTAAGGTCTATGATTAACTGACAGTTATGCAAATTTTTTTTTGATAAATATTTGTTATTACCCATAAACAAAAAATTACAGGCCAATCTTTGCTTCGTCGCTAGTGTTCTTAGTGTGTCATTTATTTTCTGCAACCGACGTTTCTCTAGAATCGGTCAGTTCTTTGATTGCAATCTGTCAAATTTACGAGTAAATCAGGCAGTTTCAGACGGAAGTAGGTTCTCTCACGAGAAACGTGCATCTGAGGCTCGCAGTTTGGAGAGTTGTTCGTGTTTAACCTGCAGCACCATCGCGGGCTGTGTTGCCACACCTTTAAGTAACGCCTTTTGTAGAAGGCACTGAGCCAATGACCTGCAAATATCATGTATTAATAATAGCATCGTCTACGCGCACGGTTTCGTATCCATTCACTCTCACTTCACTCTCACTCTCACTCCACAGGGGGGGGGGGGGTTAAGCTGGAAAATTATACCTTTAAAATTCACGATTACGTCACAGGGAACGACATGTTGAGTTTCATCACAAATCACCTGCTTAGAATGACCTTGCATCCACACAGATCGGCGGTCTGGAAATCATAGACTCGAATCAGAGGCTGTTGCTTATAAACTGACCGTTTGCGGACAAAGTAATAGTCCCTTCCAAATGAACAGGTATTGATTAGAACAACGAAACTACAAAACGAGACGTGCAAAAAACAAAAAAAACGTGGAGTTAGAGCAACGGTCACGTGACGAAAAGTGGTATAAATGATTTTACGCTCTGATACAATTCTGACATTCTTTCATGTTCAGAGTTCACAATTTGTTATACTATTAAGTTTTAAATAAATTATCCGCAAGTCTGTCAGTTAACTACTAGTACTATTATTCAGATTTGCCAATTTGAACTGGCCTAATGACAGCTACCATGAGTCCGGTCATTTTAACTCCCGCTAAATATTATCCTGTTTGGTTCTAATTTTGAATATTAAATATAACGAATTGTCGTTGGTAGTATATAAATCCGTTTATGGTATTCTACGATATTAAATGATGGCCAAGAGTGTTCGGACAAAATATATACGTTACTTTAAGTCTAAAGAATACGAGCTTATTTGGATTGTGATCACCTGCACCGTTTATAGTCGAAATGTTTATATTTAAAGAGCGCCATCAGACGCTTACTCAAAGTTAGGGGTACTTGGTTCTTGACACACAAATTCAATGAAGGGCACTCTTTATTTTGAGGGGCACTCTTTTTACAGAAACAGCGTTTTAATCAAATGTCTAAATCTTGATTTGATTATTTTTTCAATGTAATGTGCGCCAAATAGAGTGAATTACGGGAACATTTAGTTTGTGTCAGCCATCAATAAATGGCATAGGATATAAACCGACTTTGTATACGTTTAAGTACAGAGAATTCAACCTATCCCGTCCCAGGTTATGACGCGCACGCTGTTTTGAAACGCATTTCATTGCCGCCTTGCATTTTATGACCCAACGAATCCACTCTGCATAGAAAACATAATCTATAGTGTTGCTCTGTTGGGTCCAAAGTTTCAGGATGATTAGTTCACATTGGATGTGATTAGATGCGAGTTTGAAATAGCTATGAATAAAATTATACTGAATTCCAGTCAAACTATGTGTTTATAACAAACAACTTCCTAAGATCAAAGTGAACGTAACTATTCGTGTGGTGGCGCTCTTTAATGAACCATCTGACATACTCGCAACTTCAATATTCAAAAATTCAACCCAAATATCAATTTCAATATATGTAATCGTAAACACACTACTTAAATACACGATTGATCGTCATTGGAAGTTATGTACGCCTCTTTAGTTTGGCCTACGCAAAATAAATTAAAACTTTCACGAAAACGGATATGGCTGCAGAAGATGCATTGTGATTTTGCTTGGTTTGGTTCACATGTCCAGTTTCTTGAAGCTACCAGTCAATCCACCTGCCGCGTCAGCACCCTGATCTTTCCCACCCAATGTATCAGCAGTTTTCGGAAATCCGTACTTGTTATTTTCAATGAATTCCTCTGTCATACTTTTTATTATCTCTCTCCATTCTTTGTTGTCATATTCCTGCACAGCGCCCCCAAACTCCACGGGTAGAAGAGTGGAAGGCACCTGGTTGTGCAAGGCTCCAAATTCATCGCCGTGGAACTGCAACTGCCAACAAGAAATAAACACGAATGTTACATATGATGTGTTCACACTTGTTAAAGCGGGAGAGTCGTCCCCTGCGCATGCGCGGGAGTCCCAAGCGACGATAACACACGCTAAAAACGCAAAGGCTTGTGGGTAGACGCTTAATTGTAAACAATGACACGGTATGGCCATCTGACGCATGCGCAGGTGACGACTCCCCCGGTTTAAATGAGAAAGTATATACACATCACACCATTCCTGTAAGTCGCCCTCTAGCGACAAAACGTATTCATGACGTAAATGCGTGACAGCAATGTCGTCTTGGCTGAATCCCGTCACGTCTCAGACGTCATGGCGCACAAAAACAAAAGCCACGCAGAAACCCAGCAAAGAAGGCCCTCTAGAGCATGGCTCGTGTTTTGATCTTTAGTCGTCCGTCAATTAACTATACTACAAAGCACAAACGATTGGATAGTCTCATTTGTCGCTTAGACGACATTGTTTTCAGCCATTACGTCATCATAACACTGTCGCTGCAAGGACTCAGTTTCCACTCAAACGTCAAGATTATTTAGGTAGTTTTTCAAATGTATTGGCGCCATTATTTTTTAACTCATTCTGATTTTTTATTTTTTCCAACACTGATTACTTCATCGGACTTACCCTTTTTTTAAGTTTCTCACTCAAAAACGGTCTAAATATGGCAAAGGCAGTGTCAAACAGTTTTGGTTCATTCACAAAGTGCATTGCTTTGAAGCGAAGCGGCAACGCATTCTGAGAGAAAGAGAGAGCAAAATTAGATTTACGTTGGTTTGAGTATTGTTCTGTGCGATTCAGTTGGGTACGGAATTATACCTTTCTATAACACTTCCGTATTCGGAAAATGCATAAGAACATTAAATAAGTGGTTCTTTATAACACGTGTTCAAGACTATTAATTTCAGTTTTATCAGTAGAACATATCTGCACCATATCTTCATTTTATTTTTCGATCAAAAATAATACAAACAAACAAACAAAACCGATTTGAACATTTCATCATTCTTATTAGGTTACACATTCAACGTTCACAATATTTGTAAATTAATGTATAATTAAACAACTCACTTGCAGAATGTCCAGCATTTTCCTCGAAGCAGATGGCCCCATTTTAGTGATATGACCCATATTGAGTCCACCTGCGTCTCCGATAACAACAATTCCGTTGATCTGTGTCTCGTCTTCGGCAAGAAGCATCTCCAGCAACATAGTAGCAGTTCGAGTCAACTCGGAGGCTCCAAATTTTTCAACATCCCAATTTTCTGGACATAATAAACGTTAAGTGTAGTAAGCACCACGTGAGGGGTGTCGTGAGGGCACATTTTCACGTGGTGTCAGCGACTTAGAAGGTCAACATAATTCCCCCACCAATAAATCATTATCTGATTCCCCCATCTGCTTACACCGACCACTCACAAACCACGATTACACCTACTTCACGGTATAAAATAACTCCACCTCACAACAACTCACTGAAACAGGTGCAGCCAATGGAGCTGATCATCGGAAAAGCTGTTCCAAGGGATTTTTGTTGAGGGCAGTTTTTTTTCTATATTTTGTAGGGGCGGGAAATATCAGTACCCCCCAGTGGGCAGGACAGATTTCTTAAAAAATGCAAGGACAGGGAAACTTGCTTTAGTGGGCAAGGTACTTACATAAAAAATATCGCAGTGTGGGCAAAACAGCCTTTAGGGCAGAGTATAATAAAAAAAATGCATTGGGGAAAATGACACCAGCTAAATGTGGGTAGCTGTGTGCTATCAATAACTAAAAATGCGAGTCACCCACTGATTTGCTGAGTGGTTAATGTATTCTAGAAGCCCATAGAAGCCAATGACTCGATGAATTACGCCACCAATCGGTGTTTTTTTAATGAGGGGGGGATGAATTTGGTCAGCAGGAGGGCAAGAAAGGCAAGTTGGCGGTAGGGGAGTAGGGAAAAAAGTGTTGTTTTTTAATGAGGGCAGGGGAAAGATGAATTTGGTCAGCAGGAGGGCAAGAAAGGCAAGTTGGCGGTAGGGGAGTAGGCAAAAAAGTGTTTTTTTTAATGAGGGCAGGGGAAAGATGAATTTGGTCAGCAGGAGGGCAAGAAATGCAAGTTGGCGGTAGGGGAGTAGGCAAAAAAGTGTTTTGTTAATGAGGGCGGGGGAAAGATGAATTTGGTCAGCAAGAGGGGAAGACAATTATTTTTCAGGTGGAGGGTAGCTTATGAACAGCTTTTTTCAATTTATTGCTCGTTGGCTGCACCTGCTGAAACTGTCACGCTGAAAAATAATGCAAGAAATCGCCAGCTGCAACGCGGTTGCTGATTGGTTATTCGCGCTGTCAACCAATTAGCCGGTGAATAATATTAAAATGATGATTACGTTCGTTATTGTGTAATGAAAATGTACCAAACCCATCCCTCTATCACTAGATAGAGGGATGTGACCAAACCCACTAAAAGCTATTTGGGAAAAGGAAAGCTAAGCAAGTACATACACTTAACCGTCATTTTGTATAAAATGGCGGCATAAAATAATATAATTTAAAACGAACTTATTATATATCAAAACACGGATACGCTTATTAAAAGCAATTCAAATTACCCATTTTAAAGATGAGCACACGCCGCCCTTCGTTATCACGACCATGAGTTATAAAGTGGATGTTAGCTTCTAGAACCGGTAAAACGGTCGAGGGTAGAGCATCAGTAAAGACATCTTTATACTGTCTCCGTACTTCGTAGTAATGTACCAGTACCTTAAATGCTCTGTCTGCATCAAATTTCTTTGCTCTCAAGAAACGAATAAGGAAATCTTCGTCTGTGCGAAATTTAATGTCCGGTCGGGTGTCTATTAATTGCTGTAATTTGACCAGCTGTTCTTTGCGCGTTGTCTCATCTTCGTTCAATTCACGTTTGGCTTTCTGCTGTGACGTCACACTAAGTGGACATCTAAACTTGACCCTTTCTGCTGCTGTCGTCATAGTAGTAGGCCTTTTGAATATGAGCGAGTTGTAGTGCTGTGTTCTTTCCGCATGCGTGCCTACCACTATATGCTTATTCGTTACGTGATTGGTCTAGATCAAAGTCCGCAACCCCAGAGGTCGTCGTGCAAACAGGTGACGTTTCCACTTGTCTCCTGATTCATCGCCGTACTTTGTGGTATCTAACCTCAAGTATAATTACAATTTATTCAAACTAACGACATTTTTAGATAATTGAATTTTTATTAATATGTTCTCCCATGAAACTATACACATTTGGTTCACACGACGTTGCAGTATTATTTAGGATCAACAACTACATTATAAACACATAGTACAGGAATTTTATAAATAGATTGTTTACTAATTGTATTTAGTCGTGGCAACTTCACAATGCCTTAAACCGTGAGACACATCCCTGGCAATCACGTGATCGTGTCAACGGCTGCAGCGATTGGCTGATCGCATGTTTACTTTGCGATGCCTTAGCGTTTTGTTGTCCTATTGGTTTTCACTGACTGTAAATTGCAATCACGCCAAGAACACAAAACATGTGAATAAATTTAAACCACATTTAAAAAAAAATCATTTGAGACGATGAGGCAAAGCAAAAACACAAAGTCACGTTACAAAACCCAAATATTGAAACAATGTTCAATAACTGTCCGGTCAATGATTTACAGCTGTAATAGAAGGGGAAAAGTTTGGCAGCTGGGCGTGACCTCAGCTGACGGTTTGGATAAATAAAGCTGGACTATCTGCAATGAACTAATGTGTATTCATTTGGGTCGAATCTGGTATCTCTACGTGTAAGTACAGTCCCTTCATAGAGGGACTGTGGTGTAAATATTACCAGCTAAAAAATGGTCTGATAAAGTCGTGTTCTACATTAAAAAGGAAATTAAATAGTACCTCTAAGTTGTTAACAAAACAACCAACCAACCAACCCATATATCAAACACCAATATTATACTATTAAAAACAATATGCAAAATTAATATAATATAAAAAGGAGAATATAATAACATTTTGCTGTCCCAACTTGAATATATGGAAAGTGCCAACCAAAAAGACTACTGATCTGTGCTGAGAAGCCTATGTAATCAAAAGATACAACAATATAGGGAAAATATTGGACTGAACATTTTTCAATTCTTTATAATAAAACAAACAATAACAATCACGAGTTACAAAATAATCTTGTAGAAAAAGAAATGCAACAAGTTCCGAAGAAATTCTTAGCGTTGTTAGCAAACTAAAAAACAATAAATCTGTAATGTAGCTCAAAGGGGAATTTCGGGGATAACTCGCTTCTGCAGTGTAGGGATACCATACGACCTTATAACGGAACACTGAAGTCATTCACACACCCATGTAGTCAGACACAGTGCCATGCTATAACCATTTCGTTCTATATTTATATATGTGCTTTCCCTTAGGAAAAAATACCGATGCCATGTTTGCAACCAAATTTTCCTATTTTGCATTTCAATCTTTGTAAGGTGGAGTCTCTTGAAAATGGTGGAGGGTGTTTAATTATTTTAATATTTCCTTTATTTAATCGAATACTTTTACAATTATTTCAGTTATTTTAATATTTCCTTTATTTCATCGAATACTTTTACAATTATTTCAGTTATTTTAATATTTTCTTTATTCAATCTAATACTCTCACAGTTGGTATTTATTCAACTACTTTGGAGGACGAAGCGACCGCGACGACAACATCTCCTGCAGACGACGCGATCTTGACAACACTACGACGCCGAACTCAACCGCTACTGACGCCGACTATGTGACGTTTTTAATTTTTTCAGTTCATATTACCTTTTTACTTTTATATTACGTCTTAATTCGCTGCGTTAGAGTTTGTATGTGCCTTAATTTCAGTGCCGTATATAAAAACAGCCATTATTACCTCGTCAAAAAGCTTAAACAACATTTTGGAGTTATCATTTTATTACACAATAATGCGAAATCTGAAAATGAGGAAATAAGCAGGTGGTAAATGATCAAAACTAACAAGAGTATTATGTGATGTTTCTATTTCCCAATTTTTAGTTTATTGCAATGAATACTTGGAAAAAGAATGGAGGAAGGTACTGCAGTCGACCTATTTTTCAGTAGTGTATGATGAATATTCAAGATTGAAGAATATCAATTTGCTGTCTTCTTGTTTAGTAAATATTAACTTGAACAACAAATGCAACTCTCTGCTCCATAGACCCGGATGTTACAGCTTACTTAGTATATGGCCCCTGGGGAGAACAGTGCCACCGACAATCACTGTGTGAAAACAAAGTTAGTTAGAAATTAATACGTTGAGGGCTTACCCGTGCAAAGATGAATGAATGGTGGAATCACTTTCTCGCAGACTGGTCCTGTTCGCATCACATCAATAACTGGGTCGTGAAAATCGTGGTTTATTGGTCAAACTTATATTTCAGGTGAGTAAAATACATGTATTTTACGCCCATATCGCGCTGTGACACCGTAATTTCTTACACAAAAATCACAAGCGGATTTTACGTTTCTATGTCATGACAATATTCATAATAATTAGTATCGGTATCTTAGTATAAATGGTTTACTATCGTTTCAGTCATTATTTGAACGATAACGTTTATGTAAATCCTACACTAGAGTTATTTACCGCGTTTACACGGCAGCATTTTATTGGATCCTTACGGCTCTAGGGCCTCCAGCCATCAAAATGACCGCGTATACGCGTTCGGCTCGAGCCGACTAAAGCCACGTTCGGCTCGAGCCGACTAAAGCCACGTTCGGCTCGAGCCGACTAAAGCCACGTTCAGCTCGAGCCGACTAAAGCCAAGTTCGGCTCCAATGAACCCTCGGGGTTGAACTCTGATAGGATTGGGCCTTGACATGGCTCCGACTGTGTAAACGCATCGGGGCCCAACGATCGGGCCGAAATCACGCCCTCAAACAATCTGATTAAAATCTGATATAGTGTACGGGCTTTAATTATTTTGGCTATAAACTTATTTTAATTTTGTGTTTTATTACTTTTGTTATTAATGCCTTTTTATTTTATTATTTTACTTTGATTTTGATTTTGTGATTTTTTTAAAATTCCGCCCTACATACATCTGATCCGACGCCTACGTAAGTCCTGTTCAAATCTCGCGTAAGTAACAGCCAATCACAGGCCCCTTTTTATACAGGCTGTTGGTTGCTTACTTTTCAGTGTAGCGATACTCTACGGGCAATCTTTCTGTACATTATATTTTGCCCACTTGAATAAACCATTAATAGAAAATTGCTAGTATATTTTTATTTACAAAAGAAATTCCACAGCATTTTACAATTTTTTTCATTACATTGAATATTTTGTTCACTTCCAACAAATGTGTACACTTCCTGATACATCTTCGCCAGCCAAGGTTCGTTTATTCAGTCATCGCTTCAATTTTACATCAAACACTGAGCATAATTATCTAGAACGGAAGCAAAAAAATAAGTAAATCGCAATGATTAGAACACTGTAAACAGCTATAGTAAACAATGCAAATTTTAAATTGTATAACGGTCACCGGCCCACGGCATCGACGCAGAAAATTGGAGCAAAAACATATTTCCTGATCAATTGCGATGTGTTCCAAATAAAAAATATTTTATTCCAGTCCAAATCAGCTCAATTACTTTAATAAAGAGTTATTGTATAATGTACAAAATGTTGATACATTTTGATGAATATTTACAGCTACGGCTTCAATACCGTAGACGGTTTTGAACCGATCGTCAACAAAACATCACTCCGTCTCCAGGGCAAGCGACTGGAAAAAGACACCGGTGTTCGGTCGAACTGGTGGAAACAAAATCGTCACTCCCAGAATAACTACGCAAAATAACGATCTAAACTCGAACCACAATATAAACATAAAAAAATGACTTTCGTTGCATTTGACAATGATAAACTTACCGAAAAGCCGTGTTCTTCTCGGTCGCTAACGTTGGTATAATCCGCCATTTTATTTGAGTGTGTTTGCCACCTGACTCTGCCCGGTGACGTCATCATGTGCGCTATAGAAGAAGGTCTGTGATTCGTTGACTAAAATCGTCGACAGTGGGTCTCGTTGAAATCTCGTTACATAGGCATCGGATGTATGTAGGGCGGAATTACAAAAAATCAAAATCAAAGTAAAATAATAAAATAAAAAGGCATTAATAACAAAAGTAATAAAAAATAAAATTAAAATAAGTTTATAGCCAAAATAATTAAAGCCCGTACACTACATCAGATTTTAATCAGATTGGCCCTCAAACAAATGGCGGAGACAGCATCGTTTGTAATTTTGCATAATTTCTGGTTCGACGAAGAGTTATGCATATTAATTAATGAATTAATTATGCAAATAAGGTAATTAACATGTATTGATATTAACCTAAAAACTATCAGGTCTGTGCAATGTCCTATGATATCTATGTACCAAGTTACCAAGAAAATTGGCTAATCATTCAAATTACCCAAAACTAATCAAATCTGCATCAAGTTTCAAGTTTCTTGAAAATCCAAAGAGCGGCTCTTCAGGTATCAGTGGAACAGTCATGGAACAGCTAATAATTAGCTAATTACCATGCAAATTAGGTAATATAGTTGACTTAAATTTTAATATAGTTGCGATATGAACTTGATTAAAACACGTTCCTACATAGGAACTTTGACTTTGAGTTGACTTTACGGTAAATAATATAATTTTGGCTTGTGTCATCATTTATGGCGGTTTATTATGAGTTAAATAAGGGGTACTGATAATTATTAAATGTTTTGTGTGTGTTGGGAAGGTGCACACATATTAGTTTCTAGACACTGCATGTTTTTTATATATAAAAGTTGTAGAAGCTAATTTTCTAGTGGGTACAAGTCACATATATCTATATAGAAGTCAAGTTTCTTGAGTACGTGTCACATATATTTATATAAATGCTAAGTTTCCTATGCACCTGTCGTGTATTTCTGTCTAGAAGTTTAGTTTCTCAAGTACTTTCTGTGTACAGTACACAGCTAGCCATGTATAGATCTTATTATTCCTCGTTCGAATGAAGTCCGAAAATGGAGACTTGTAATTCGTTCTCTCCGTCCGTCCAGTTTAGCGGTTTCATTCAAAATGGCCGACTGGCAGACATTTTGTTTTTGGAAAATGTATTTTGGACATGCTTTGTTAGTTTTCATTCAAATTTGGTACATACTTTATACATGTTAGGATACATGTCCATGACAATTTGTTTCAAAATCAGATCAAGGATGGCCAATTGACAGCCATCTGACTTTTTGGCCTTACTACTATATTTCCAAGATTCATGTACCATTTTCATTTGTATTTGTCTTAAACCGGAGGGGTCATCACACAATACGTGGTCGAATTTGATTTAAATAAACAATCTGTTGTATACGCCACTTGGGACTCAAGTTTCAAGGACACACTCGCGACAATCCCTCCACTTTAATATGACATGCACAGAGAGAACTTTCAAAAATTTAACTGGGGCTGTGTCATTTTTAATGACTTGTTTTCTTTGGTTCTCAAGCACCTGCCAACTATTGTACTCTGCTAGCTGTGTATAGACCTAATTTCTTGAGTATACTCTGTGTATAAGCAAGTAAGCTACATTTAGCTGAGTTTTCTTGCATACTGTTGCCAAATACAAAATGTCTTTCGGTATCTATTGCATATCTATGATGTATCTATAGTGTACAGGGATCTTCATAAGGGTGTTTGGTTATGATTCAAATCAACTTTGTTTAGAACATAATGCGTAACTGAAGATGACATTATCAGTTTGCTAATGAAACAACAACAACAAATCTGCATTGCCTGTAACTTACAGATTGGTTAACAGTTAAATAATTAAACATGGTCTTATGGTACATGTGTCTGTGTGTGCAGTCTAAGCTGTATCTCAGACATACCTTGACCAATTCTATTCTGTTTTTGTGATTGGATCAAAAATGGCCGACTATTTATATGTCTTGTACTTGCTTTGATCAATGTACCTCAAACTTTATACAAAGACTGCACATAGTGGCATACAACTGCATATACATTATTTTTTACAATGTAAACAACGCAGGTTTTTGACATGCTCAGAATCAGATCTTGTGTATGTGTTCTTTGGTTTTCTTCCTCTAAATGTTATTTTTTCCATTATATTATTCTGTGTCAGTCATGTCCTGGATTTGCAGTAGATGTTTCTTACAAAACATAGCCATAATGCATTTACTGGCAGTTAAAACACTGATAGTTATTTTGTATACTTTATATATTACTCACTTTATAACAACAGAATTATATAATGTTTGACATTAAATACATAACAAGGACTGTTCATTGAAAATGCCTGTTTTATTTTTTCCTTTGATTTCAGACAAAAATAAATGTCTATTATCGTAAAATTGGAAAAAGATTCCCATACTATTAAATTACTTTTCATTAACTTACAGAAAATCATCACAACTGTAGAATGATAGTAAAAAAAAAACAAGATAGCAATGTGAGACTTTAAATATCATTGGTTGTTGATGAAGAATACACTATTTGATGTATGAAGATAAAAACTATACAGCAAGAGATGAATTGACAGACCATATGAAAACAGTCATTGACATTAAGACACAGTTGTTCTATTTATAATATATACATATATATGGTAAATTCAGGGAGAAATGTGTGTTTTTTCGACTTGAAAGTTTTTTCTGTTTTATTATTTGAAGATGTACTCTGCACAAGAACATTCTGAACAATCCACAATGAAGGATGATGATCAAGTTGCAGCAGAAACAAGTGTCTCACCAAATGATAAACATCAAATGCAATCCAAGAATAATTCCAACACTTGCAGCTATTGTGGGAAGAATATGGTCTGTAAAAGTGCATTGGTCATTCACATTCGAAAACATACTGGTGAAAAACCATATCAATGTGAGCAGTGTGCAAAACAATTCACCCAGGCACAGTCTTTGAAAGATCACGTAAGGACACACACTGGTGAAAAATGCCAATGTAACTTGTGTGAGAAAACATTTTCTTGGATTGGTCACTTCAATGAACTTAAGAAATTTCATAAGACAGGAGGTCATGAATGCAATATTTGTCACAAAAAATTCACTAGTCGAGGAAATGCAGCTGTGCATACGAGTACACACACTGGTAAAAAGCCTTTTCAATGTGAATATTGTATAAAATCTTTTAGTTGTAAAGGTAATAAGGACATCCACATGCAAATTCATGAAGGTCAAAAACCATACCTCTGCGAGATGTGTGGAAGAAGATTCACACAGAAGTCCAGTCTTAACCATCATATGAATACTCATAAACCACCCAATGAAAAAATAAAATTCAAATGTGAACAATGCGGGAAGGAACTTGGAAGCAAGTGTGCTTTAGCGTACCACACAAAATGTCATTCTGGTATAAAACCATATCATTGCAAACACTGCAAAATGAGTTTCATTCAAAATGCTCAACTGAAAATTCACATGAGAAAACATACAGGTGAGAAACCATATCAATGTACAATCTGCCAAATGAGATGGGCTGAACAACATAGTATGAACGTACATATTAAAACTGTACATACAGGTGAACGACCATATGAATGTACTCGGTGTGGAAGACAATTTGTTCAGAAGAGGGGTTTAAAGCGCCATATTGCCACACATATTCCTGTTGGCACACAATATCAATGTAAGTTATGTGGGCTTAAATGCAGGAACAAAACTGACTTGGAATCACATGTTGGAAGACACAATGGTGAAAAACCATTTCATTGTCCATCGTGTAATGAGCATTTCGTTTATAAAAATCAACGAGATCGTCATATACAGAAATCACATAGTCGTGAGTATCCCCATCATTGTAAATGTTGTGGAAAGAGATATCAAAATAAAACAAGTCTAAAATTACATGTAAAAAAACATCCAAGGGAATCCCCATACGAATGTCTTGTCTGTGGAAAGAAGTATATTTATGAAAGTAATATGGAATTCCACATGAAGAAACATTCATCTGAAAACAAATTTACTTGCAAGAACTGTAATGCAAAGTTTGACAGAAAGTTTGATTTCGAAACTCACTTGAAAGAAAATCACAGATCACAAAAGCAGATTGACAAACTTAAATCAAAACCAGTATATTACCTTAGAAGTCAGATGACAAGGAAAATGTACCCTGTAAAACTAATGAACACTAAACATTTGCAAATAGATGCAGAATCAAGTACAAGGTCATCTAGAAAGCTCAAAAGAGATCGATTGTCTGAATATATGGGACATAAAGGTGCAATGAACGCAGGCAGTAAAATTGATGTGATGCTTACAAATGCAAGTAAATGTCAGCGAAAAGCAACATCTACAAATCCTACAGGAACTGCTAAAACTCAGTCAACCTACAACTTGAGAAAATCGACTATAATACTGAAAGAAGCAGCACCTCAAATATCAGCTGATAATTTTAAAAGGAAAACGATTGTCCAAACATGTGTAGAGACATTACATAATCAGGAGAAAACAAGTTTAGAGGAGAGCAGTAAATTAACTGCAACACTAAACTATGGCAAGCAAGCAGTAGAAGAATTGAAGACAGATGCGTCATCTGGTAAATACGAGTCAGAGGAGCATTACAATGAAGACACTAAGGCCATGTCATGTGATATTATTTTTGCAAAGAAAAATGGCAACTTTCACAATATTCTAGATAATGTTCCCATCAAACTATTTAATTCTATCCATGTAAGAGATAATTTGGGGAATGGTGATGATGTAACAAAATCACTCTCAAATACTAATGATAGCTATCCCGTTTATATGTTAGAGAAAATTGAAGAAATATTTTCAACAAAATGGGGAGTTGAAATGTTTCAAGTGGTTTTCAAACCGTAACATTTGTTAACTCATGTTATTTTCATCATATTCTTTGTAAGAAACACAGAATCATATACTGGCGCATGTGAGTTTTTGCATTAAATTGTTTGCAAATGCATGCTTGTAATCAACAAATGTTTTGTGCAATTTGATCTTTCGTTCCACATCACATATTTACTAGAATTTTGAATTATATTCATTTTTTGTGTTGTGTTATGTATCACGCTGTGTTTGGATATTTGAATAAAAAGTATTATAAAAAAAGTATGTTTCTTCTTCAACTGTATTTGCCATATTAGAAATGCATCGCATATAATCCAGGGTTAATGAGACTGGACAAATAAGAAGAAAGGTAAATAATTTGCAGCCAATTAAACAAGGTTACTTGCAATGAATCTCCAAAATCCTGTATTCACTATGAATTTTCTGTCACTTGTACAGATGACACTATGCATGTTGAGACTATGTGAACCTGTCTTCTTTTAACACATTCTGGATGGTTATTCCTCAGTTTATCAGTGTCAAACTGAATGATTTCTTCTAGGTGCTTGATCAATTCAAAGCTGTTTGGCACTACATGTACCTTTATTTTGGCACTATTTTTGTTCCCAAAGTTCTGCAGGGCTGTGATGTAGATGACTGGCTGTTAGAATCAGTAACACACAAAGTTTTCGTCGGTCATCTGCTTTGGATTTCCCATGTTCGATTGTCTCAGTACGAATAGACATTTCAAAACTAATATATATATATATATATATATATATATATATATATATATATATATATATATATATATGCTGAGTAGCTCAGTTCATGCTGAGAAAATTTTATCATCAGTCCTCATCATGGTGGAAGTTTTCATGTGTTGCATGACACACACTTTCACCCTGTTGAGACAACCTTGGTGTTTGTGCATTCTTTTTTTTTCCTAATAATAGTTGCAGCACACAGAAAAATGTTCCTGTCAGTCAACACAACATGGACTATGTGACTGAGGCAAGAATGGATCTTACTTTTATTGCG